TTAGTCTCAAAGTGGGTTCCTCGTCATTGAATTTGAAATATAAGTAGCGTCATTATGCTGTCAGCGTGTACATTGTATAATATTTCTTCTTATTAAATATATGTTTTTTTATTTGAATTGATAACTAGATTAGGTGAAGTGGTGGACTTAAGTCAAGGAGAAGAAATAGATGGTCTCATAGTTACATATTTTATGTTTTGACAGAAAAGAATATTAACGATGGGGTTGATAGACAACGTCTGTCCTTAGGCTTGCGATACACACGTGCAGTTAATTCACAAAGCTCTCGATAGATGGCTCGACAGCAGTGAATTCAGGCGGAGTGGCTGGTTTTTGTTATTAAAATAAAATTATAATATACGGAAAAATTAAATAATAATAATAACGATTTTTTGTTCAAACGAAACTTCTTTAAAATCAATCTTAAGGGGTCAAAGCTCGTGTTCTTTTCTCTGCATTTTCACAAGTAAAGATTTAGTGAGTACGTTTATATTCTGCTGGTTTGTTTAGCTTAGTCCTAGCATTATAAGGTGAAACTCTTTCCCGGGAATAGAGAAAGACACGAGGCAGTGACAATATCACATTCGTTTAATTAGTGGCTGGTAGTACTACTGGTGTAGTGGCTTCGCAGAGTCTGTTTATTCGACCGCAGACCCTTCTTGTGGTTGATGCAATATTTCCATGGTTATACCGTGAACTCTTATGTCGCAAGTGAGGTATTCAGTGGATGTTGTTCGTCTTTAAAGTCGAAAAGCTATGTTTTAAAAACACGCTTTAATTGAATTGTATATTGCATGTATATGAAGTTAAAGAACCCTTGTAACCTGTTATCGGATAAAAGGTAGATTAAAAACTTCCACCTTTAAGGTTAAAATAACTACCAATAGTAACAAGTGTTCAAAACGTGCCAATCACGAGAAGCCAAGTATCACCGATAAATTGACTGGCATTCAAATATATAAACCTACCAATCATGAGAATCCCCGTATTACCAATCAAATGATTAGAATTACATTGTTTGGAATTAGAGACATGGTGAGATGCTCAAAAACGTGGTATTCATCCAGACTTTGTCAGCCTTTTCATTGTGTTGCTCTAGTTAGTTTTTGTTAGGGACCGTTTGTATTAAAAAAAAATCATTCAGTTGTTAATTGCTCTAAATGTTTTCTTTCCAGTCTTAATCGACACCAACCAATGGTATCATGATACTTACATTGAGCCTGGAGAAATGAGCATTACGATCGGATCCGAGTACGACTAGTTTGCCATCTAGTGGAATATTCACAAACTAAAGCACAACACTACCTCTTTCAGTTATCAAGTCTTTGATTTCACTTTATTTTCCTCAACTAAAAAAATGTTTTAAAACTAGGAACCAGAATCAAATAATTATGAGTTCCAAGGTATTCAAACAAATACTTATTTTTGTCCCTACGTTCAAAGGGGGAATGCATACAACAACAAACTTTTGTGTGAAACAAAAGTAAATGTGTTTGTAAAATATGGTATTAAAAATCTAAATATTTAAAGATATTAAAATATTTTTCATTAAATGTTGTTTATATGGTGGTTGTAACTTTGTAAAAAAAATCAGTATTGATATACAGAAAGGTTTTAGAAATATCCAACTGAATTTGGTTTTCGTAATTTTAAGGTTTTTTTATTATGGGTTTTTTTAAACCCACCTGCCCGAGAATAGTAGTTTCTTAAACAAAAAATAAACATATTTGATATTCAAATATAAATTGTATTTAAACATACTAGTGATGATTGTGTAATAAATACATAACGTGTCCAGATTATTCATAAATATTTTGGAAAATTGATTTTTTTGTTTTTTTTTTTTACTCGGAAGATCTAAGCTATTTAATTTGCAGGGTTTTTTGGTTGGTGTTAATTTCAGTACTTTCGTATGTAGCACAGAAATAATAGTGTCATACAGCTTGATTTCATGGTTGATCTGTTTATCACAGTAAATAATAATATTTTGAAAATGAATGTTAAACTTGGATCTATCGTACTTCCGGTCTGTCGTACTTCCGGTATTACACACCTTACAAAAGTCGTCGATTTTTTTTTTATTCAATACAGTCAAGTCCTAAATAATTTCAGGACTTATCTAGTTTTATTTATTTTAATTGACATCGTAACGTGTTTGATGTGACCTGTCACGTGGAAAATACACAGATTAGCAAGTCAGCCAATAACAACACTCGTAAGTCCCATGATGTTTCTTGAATATATACTTGGTGTAATCGTCCTAGAACAGGTAGAATTAAGATGTATTTTTTTATAGTAGTAGCTGGTTTATTTATATATCGGTTAGTTTTGAATCAAAATGTTTCAGTTGTGTGTGGTTTAAAACATTATTCAATGTTTACATCATATACTTGCGTTATTCTAGTACTTTTTGTACGTGTCATAGATTTGGACAGTTGTTATAATTGTTGTTGTGGAGTATAGGTGCTTGAATATGCCACTAAAATGTGTCTTCCAGTTAGAGTGGCCAAACTGTAGAAAAAATTGTTTATGTGCAATGTTAGAGTAAGCTTAAAGATAGATATGTTTAATATTATATTTTTAATATATAAAATCTAAACAATATTGCTGACGGTATGTGACACTGTATCCATTGGCAGAAAGGACGTCTATAACATCTTTAGATTTTTTTATTGTTGTTTGTAGTAAATAAATTACAATAGTTGTAGAAGTCGTTAACAGATGGCGCCAATGTTTTTCTTACTATAATTGTGTGAATTACTCTTCCAATTTCTGCGTATTACGTATTATAAACCTTATAAAGTTTTTGTATTAAGATATAATTAATACTCAAAGGTGTACGAAGATAAGTGTTGATTAACTTTGAATACAATAATTCGCCAATCCTACTTATTAACCTCTGTTGTAAGCATGAATATGAAGTGTTTACTTGTGTCCTTTTTTTAAAGGTACCTTCACACTCGACTTAGAAAAAAAACAATGTATTTCAAACATTAATCTCCCCTTCCCCCCAAAAAAAATTCTTGAAAAAGTTTAAAACATGTTAAAACAATATATTTTTTGTTCTCCTTTAAATTTGATTTAGTTAATACTTATTTATTAAAGTTTAAATCAAGCCTTTGATAAATATATAACATTTGTTAACCAGAGGATTTCATTATATGTATATATATATATATATATATAT